GATCTGGTCAAACAAACCGGTATATTTGGTTTACGATCGGGTTTTGTTATTAACCGAGAAAACCCAGAATTAGAGTGAAATAAGCGTTTAATGTTTATTCTGTGAGGAAATAGTATGAGATTAGTTATTCGAGTCTATTTGAGAGGAAATGAAATTTTCGTGGGAGAATTAGTAAGTTTTCCCCAAAATAGAATAGATGAACACATACAAATTAGTTCACATGAAATAGTAGTAATAAAGAAAACAATTTGTTCCTCTTGCTCCCTAGTCATATAAAATTGTAGTCAATAATTCTCATTTTAATTTAACGCATATAGGTAAAGCTGATTGGTGGATCAAAGCAAGCGGGTCAGAATGTGGGTCCCGCTTCACACGCTCTCACCCTCTCATTTGTCATTTCATGTCAGCTGAAAGAAACAAAATTCTCCCAAAAAATAATTTCAATCTTGGACACGTGGCAATTTTTATCTCGGTGTTACATGTAGGGCTGGAGGGTTCGGCACATATACCTGTTAACCGTCTTTTACCCGTTACCCGATTCGTACTAGTCTCAAAAATTAGGATATCTGTAACGTTTAAGTCGGATAAAGGGTACTATAATTTTGATACCCGTGGGTAAGGGTTGGGTAAAAGATATCATTTTTTTTCACTATCCGTCTGGATATCTGTCTTCGTACTCGATTTGCTACCCGACAGGTAAATACTCGTATTTTATATCACTAATATTTGATAAACTTAGTTATAAAATAAATTGTATAAGAAATAGTATAGTATAAATACTCACAACGTCAATCTTTTGTGTTTTTAAATTGTCATCGATAATTTTGGAGACGATTGATTATAATTTTTAAGTTTTGAAGTTTGTAATATTATATTTAATAAACTATATGTTGTCTATTAAGAGTTTTTTTTTCTTTTCCTAGTAATTTTTTTATTTCTTTGGTATATAAGTTGCTTAACTTTAATTATATATAAACTATATTACAATTAGACGAATAAGGGTAAGTGGTCGGGTACCCGGTGGGTCGACCAATGTTTGTCGGGTGCCCGTTATATAGGGTACTTGGTTTTTGCGGGTCGAATAAGAGTATTGTTTGTTAAATATTCAATAGAGTCAGATCGGGTAACGGATAGTCTAAATTTTCAAGGTATCCGTCTTATGCGTAGTTACATGCATGTTTTGCTCCTTTCTTCTTGTTGTTTATAATTGGACTTGTTACATTCCCTCTCGAAATGTTTAAAGCCCATTTCCTTTCGGGCTTTAGCCCATTTTCCAAATACATTGACGATAATAACATCAAATTCCATCTATGGTACAATAATAAATACAATTCCCACAATTTATGCTCTCGGCGGAGACTAGAATAATAAACTCCGAATTATCCCTCTTCGGTAGTCTTATTTTAGTCATTGGGCATTGACTTGTTGTTAGATGTTAGATGAAATACCTGAATGAAATCATTTTACGAAAAATTATGAAAATAATCGAATTTTTTTTAATTATGAAAATTAAAAATATAGGCCATATTTTTTAATAGTAGGGATATACACTATGTATGACTTTATTACCCTAAATTTATATTATTATTTAAAAACATGAAAAAATTGCCATATCGATTCAAAAACCATAATTAAAAAAATTAGACACACAATCACTACCGTAGAACGCAGCACACACATTAACATAAAGATCGTAGATTTGACACATGTATCATCTATTTGAAGGTGATATTGGTTTTTACCGACTGCCGCTTGATCGAGTTTCATGATTGCACAAATCAACACTTGTATTTAATCTTGTTGCTCGTAACCCTTGAAACCTTTCGTAATCCACTGTTTCACCTGTCTTAATTTCACAGTCAATCCCTTGAAACCCATCAAGACGTCTAATCATCCGTCAACGCAGTCGGAACTCTTTGTAAGAAATCTTGCTTAAATACAAGAATAGTCGTTGCAGTTCATAAAACCATGTATTGCCGTAGAAAGAAAACATTAAAATACACACATCTAATAAGCATTTCGAATAACAACATAGTAACAGAAAGTGTT